GATATCTCTGGCCGAAGATAAAGATATCTCTGGCCCAAGATAAAGATATCTCAGGCTCAAGATAAAGATATCTCTGGCCGAAGATAATGATATCTCTAGCCGAAGATAAAGATATCTCTGGCCGAAGATAAAGATATCTCAGGCCGAAGATAAAGATATCTCTGACCCAAGATAAAGATATCTCTGGCCGAAGATAATGATATCTCTGGCCGAAGATAAAGATATCTCTGACCCAAGATAAAGATATCTCAGGCTCAAGATAAAGATATCTCTGGCCCAAGATAAAGATATCTCTGGCCGAAGATAATGATATCTCTGACCCAAGATAAAGATATCTGTGGCCCAAGATAAAGATATATCTGACTAAAGATAAAGACGATTTGAAATTGAAAATACAAATTCTAATATCGTGGAATTATCCTTGGCCACAAATATAGGAAAAGGATGATAAAATTTTAGAACAATCATATAGATAATCATTGATGGCACTCTCTGAGCGAAGGGGGTCTTACAATAACAATAACAGTCTGATTAAAAATAATTTCTAATATTTATACAGTATAGTATTAGTACATAATAACCATATATGTAAACTAAATATGCATAAATATAAAAATATATATTATAAAACAAGAATTATGATTTATTATCTTTTATTTAGTGTTTCTATCAAGTAAATCATGTATTATGTGATTTAGAATTTCTATTTATTATTGCAATTTAAAAATAGTTAAATCTTAATTTAGACATTTGATACCTTTGAATTAAATTGTATTAAATTTAATCATAATTTCTCTCTTTCGCTCTTTAAATGAAGTGATCACTTTCTTCATACTCTAATTTCCTAATCCTTGTATCTTTGCAACCTCATCTGTTGTTAACCTTAATTATTTAAAACTATGAATTCTTCTAAATTAGAGAGTCAATGTTTAAAATATAAAATGTTTGCACCATACGTTTGCTTGCAAAGAGATAGGAATTAAAAAATTTGCATTTGTGGCAAGCCTGAAAAGATCCTTTTTATTTGAACTAAATATAGTAGATATCATGGTATAATCAGAAAAATTAACAATAGACAGTTAAAAATACGACCCCTTCGCAAAAAAGGAATTGAATCTTTGCCACAAATTCAAAATTTTTTTAACTTTGCAACCTGCTGGTATAAACCTTTGGTAAAGTTTGAAATATCTTAGGATTACAGCATTGGGTTGCAAAGATATAGGGAATAAAAGATCAGTGGCATAGACTCAATTCCTTTCAACCTCAGAATATATATTCTGAGCTTTCAACTAAAAGAAAGAACGAAGACGATAATTACTCTTCTCAATTCTGAGGATTTCGGATCAAAACTTGTTGGATAAGAAAATTATTAAAGTCTCTTATTAATGAATGAATATCCGTCCTGCAGGATATAAATCAGATTATATCTATCTATCTCCTGGTTTCCTGCACTTCCTTAGTCACGGAGCGAACCCCTTGCTCAGTGACCATAAATCCCAACCTTCAAGTCATCTTTATTTAACAATCCTTAAACTTCAGGGTATTTCAATTTGTGTAATTTTGTACAATTCTCATTCGCAATCCTTTTTTAGAAATTAAAAAAATCTGTTTTTTAAGATTTAGAATTTATTGGTGTCTTCTGTTTTCTGTCTTCTGTCTTCTGTCTTCTGTCTTCTGTCTTCTGTCTTCTGTCTTCTGTCTTCTGTCTTCCGTCTTCTGTCTTCTGTCTTCTGTCTTCTGTCTTCTGTCTTCTGTCTTCTGACTCCTATGTCTTCTGTCTTCTGTCTTCTGTCTTCTGTCTTCTGTCTTCTGTCTTCTGTCTTCTGTCTTCTGTCTTCTGTCTTCTGTCTTCTGTCTTCTGTCCTCTGTCTTCTGTCTTCTATCTTTTGTGTTTTGAAATTGGTTTTCGAAATCAGTATTCCGTTTTCGGATCTGTCTATTCAATAAAATATTATTATAAAAATTTATTCACACATAATGGATGATGGAGGTCTTTTCGTCCTAGATATCAGATCTCAACAAACAATTGTCCGACAAAATGATTTCTCCAGAAACCGCCGGACTCTATCCGTTCGAGTGTATGATCAGCCGTGCCCCGGAGCTTAAACCGCTCAGTGACTCAAGGGTGGTCTCGTACCAATACAACTTCATCAGTCGTAACCTTCCCACCTGGAGAACAGGGCTAATAAATATGGATATACTCAGATATACCCCGGAGAACTATCCGCTCCTGACAGAATCTCAGTTACAATTCTCCAGTTTAACCAGGGACCCGGAGAAAACCGTGATGTTGCTTGAACCTGAATCCCTTGTTAAATTGGAAACTCTTCTAACAGCAATAATCTTCATCCTTGGTCTTCTTGCCATTCTTCTCGTCTTCTTTGCAATAATGTAAGCTTTTAATTTTTCTAAATCGTTAGTTTTAGTAAACCGCGGGTATTGTAATTCAAGCAAGTGATGACAAATCTATGTTAGGATTAAGGGAGTTAAGGAGAAGGGAACGTAGAAAAGGATTCTTTTCTCTACAAACTTTGTTTAGTTATTAAACATTATATCGTATCCCCATATTTTGAAACCCTTGAATTATTTATTTTACGAATCCGTTTCACTCGCCTTTAATGCAAAATATAAAACACCAAAAAAACAACAATGTTTTAAGTTTGAAAGTTTCTAGCCTAGTTTTTATAACTATTTATTAGATTAAGTAGAACAATTCTTACTCTCCTTATATTTCAATCAATATATCTATACAATATATTATATAAATAAATACTACAAGATACAAGATACATATCCAACCTGTATCTTTGCCATGTAAGGTTGAATGAGAGAGTAAAATCTATAAACCCATATTAGGAATCCATAGCTCCGTACATGCAATCTTAGTGTATGCAATCAGGTTGTATGTATGTAATCCTGGTGAATCCAATCCTAGTGGATCCACTCATAGTAGATCAGATCCTAGTAGATCTAATCCTAGTGGATCCAATCCTGGTGGATTAAATCCTAATGGATCCAATCTTAGTTGATCCAATCCTAGTTGATCTAATCCTAGTAGACAGAACCCTATTGGATCCAATCCTACAGAATCCAATCCTAGTGGATTCAATACTAGTGGATCCATTCCTAGTGAATCCAATCCTATAGGATCCAATCCTATTGGATCCAATCCTAGTAGATACAATCATGTTGGATACAATCCTGGTGGATCCAATCCTAGTGGATACAATCCTGGTGGATCCAATCCTAGTTGATCCAATCCTAGTGGATCCAATCCTGGTGGATCCACTCTTAGTAGATCCAATCCTAGTATTTCCAATCCTAGTGGATCCAATCCTAGTGGATCCAATCCTAGTGGATCCAATCCTAGTGGTTCCAATCCTAGTTGATCCAATCCTAGTGGATCCAATCCTACAGGATCTAATCCTAATGGATCCAATATAAGTGGATCCAATCCTAGTGGATCCAATCCTAGTGGTTCCAATCTTGGTAGATCCAATCCTAGCTGCAAATGCAGTAAAAAAAAAATAATTTCGGCTTCGGTCGGAATAATTATTTCTCTTTCTTTTCTCCGTCTGGTGATTGCAGTGTAATTTTGCATTTATGATATTTTTCCAATCAACTCTGACATCTAAATAATATACAGCTGAACATATGAAATCTATATCCTTCAAACCCTGACAGTTAGTTACATATTAACATTCAGTAAAATTATGGCTTGAAATTGATACATTGTGTAGTTCCTCTAAACCTACTCCTGTCTCCACACTCCACTCTCCTCTCAACCCTCCATTCTCCACCCTCCACTCTCCATTCTCCACCATTCGTTTTCCATCCTCCATTATCATCCCTCCACCCTCAATCCTCCATTCTCCACCCTCCATCCCCACCCTCCGACCTCCACCTTCAATTCTCCGCCCTCCGCCTTCCACGCTTCATTCTCCATTATCCATCTTCCATCTTCCCTCCTCTTCCCTCTAACCTTTATCCTCTACCCTCGACCCTATATCCTGCAACCCACAAACTCCAATCTCCTTCCTCAAACCTCCACCCTCCAATCTTCAACTTTACCCTATTACTCCCATCCTCCACTCTCCAATCTCAACTCTTTACCCTCTAATCTTGACCCTCCTCCTGCTAAATAGTGTTTGTTTGCTTACGTTTACTTCCGCTTGAATAATCAGGTTTTTATCTGTTTGAGAAATATCTTACTTTCCATGGGAAAATCATAAAGTTAAATAGAAATCATTTTACAATCTAACCCAATCTCTTGTTAGTATAGTTTAATGTGTACAGTTTACAGTTTAATTTGTAATTATTCTGTCTTGAAAACTAAAAAGTTTAGAAATAAATATTCCTTTTAGTAACCTCATAAACTACAGCTTGCACCTACACCCTCTTTCTGGTTCTAATTGTTACGAGTTCCTGGTTCTAATCTTCCTTCATGGTTCCTTGTTTCATGGTTCCTTGTTTCATTGTTTCTTGGGTCCTGCTTATTTCGGGATTTCTAGTTCCTGGTTTCTGGTTCCTGTTTCCTGGTTCTTGGTTCCTGTTTCCAGGTTCTTGGTCCCTGTTTCCGGGTTTTTGTTCCCTGTTTCCGGGTTTTTGGTCCCTGTTTCCAAGTTCTTGGTCCCTTTTCCTAGTTTCTGGTTTCTGGTTTCAAGTTTCTGGTCCCTGATTTCTTTTAATTCATTCCTGACCACTGGTTCCTGGTTCCTTGGGTCCTAGTCTCTTGCTTCTGATTCCTGTTCCTGGTCCCTAGTCTCATTTCCTGGTTCCTAGTGTTTCTGATTCTACATTTCTTTTTTTCATGGTGGTCTTACTAACCCCCAATATTACTTTAGGATTGTCGTGTTCTAGACCTATACCGAAGTAAATACGAATCTAGCCTGGTATTCTAGACCTATACCGGAGTAAATACGAATCTAACCTAGTATTCTAGAGCTATACCGGATTAAATACGAATCTAACCTGGTATTCTAGACCTATACCGGAGTAAATACGAATCTAACCTGGTATTCTGGACCTATACCGGATTAAATACGAATCTTACCTAGTATTCTAGACATATATCGGAGTAAATACGAATCTAAGTATTCTAGACATATATCGGAGTAAATACGAATCTAACCTAGTATTTTAGACCTATAACGGATTAAATTCGAATCTAACCTGGTATTCTAGACCTATACCGGAGTCAATACGAATATAACTTGGTATTCTAAACGTATTACCGGAGCCAATACGAATTTAACCTGGTATTTGTAGAATCTATTTCTTTGATTAAGATGTCCCAAGGAATCTAAGAAAACAATTCTAAACTGACAGTTATGGTTTGAACCGAATATAAAGCGCGTCCAATCCCCCAATCTTTTTAATCTCAACCCCCCCCCCTTCCGACCCGACCTGTCTATAATATGGTGAGCCCCCCCACCTTGAGATAGCTCTTAGGCATCAAACTAAATAACTTTATTATACATTCCTTTCTCTTCATCCTTCCTTCAACCTACCTTATTATCTATCTATCTATCTATCTATCTATCTATCTATCTATCTATCCATCGTATATCTATCTATCTGCGTTGCATGTTTATGATTTAATGGGTCTAATAGATTTGTTTTCAAATAAAGAAACATGTGAACTCAATTTAACTACTTTGAAATATGCCAGGAAAACTGAGAAGTGGGGGGGGGGGAAATTTTTATGGAAGGGGGATTGAAGAGGGAGGGGGGGGGGGGGAGGATAAAAGAACTATGTAAAATCATGTAGTTTATAAAACCCTCTGCTCACACTTGGTTCTCAGTCTGACAAAACAAAATCGAAATCATTCTTGAGAAAATCTACAATTCATTTCACGGAGATTTGTTTCCCTTAACTCCTGGAGGTATATACGTGAGAACTCTTGATTTAAACAGTTCAAAGGACGTAATCTTGTCAAGAGAATCGTTTGATAGCGTTTTGGGGGGAAGGGGGCCTAGGGGGGGTATGGAATTTAGGTAGGGTAGAAAGCTTTTACAACTTGAGAAAATTCATTGAGTTAAACCACATTTAATGTGAGGTTATGTGAGTAATGTGTTGTAATATTGAGGTTTAAGGAATAATAAAAGGTGATCATTCTCTGCTCTACCTTATCCTTCCTATAGCTACTGTATCCTACCTAGCTCCTGTATCCTACCTAAGCTACGTCCTATATCCTATCTAATTCTGTATCCTACCCAGCTTCTGTATCCTAGATAGCTCCGATGTCCACCTAGCTCCTGTATCCTACCTAACTCCAGTATCCTATTTAGTTCTGTATCCTACCCAGCTTTTGTATCCTACATAGCTCCTACACCCTACCTAGCCCATGTATCCTACCTAGCTTCTTTATTCTACATAGATCCTATATCCTACCTAGCTCCTGTACCCTATCTATCTCCTGTATCCTTTCTAGCTCCTGTATCATATCTAACTCCTGTATCCTATCTATCTCCTGTATCCTATCTAGCTCCTGTATCCTATCTAGCTTCTGTATCCTATCTAGCTCCTGTATCCTATCTAGCTCCTATATCATGTATCCTATCTAGCTCCTATAGCCTATATCCTATCTAGCTCCTGTATCCTATCTAGATACTGTATCCTATCTAGCTCCTGTATCCTATCTAGCTCCTATATCATGTATCCTATCTGGCTCCTGTATCCTATCTAGCTCCTATATCATGTATCCTATCTGGCTCCTGTATCCTATCTAGCTCCTATATCCTGTATCCTATCTTGCTCCTTTGCAAACCAATATAAGATTTATATTTCCTATATCCAGGTTCTAGCCTTGATCTAATCACCTCTAGGATGAGTACTGCATTAATTGCTCGTCCTGTCAACAATCAAGCATTTCTTTGGTCAAGGAAATGCCAAATTAAATATTGTTTGAGAAATAGGGTTCAGCCGCCCTCAGGGCGTTTTCTCATCCTTTCTAAGCAACCTTTTCTCCTTTCATTTGTACACACTTCATCTTCTCATCCGTCCTTTCTCTATCTATCTATGTATCCGTTGCAAACCTTGATATCTGAACAAGATTAGAGATTAAGGAGAGGAGGTGGGTTGGAAAACTAGGGGTGAGACGCATAAACTTGAAAGATTTATATTTGATTGAATTGAGCACGGAATGCTGGAAGAAGATTGTTCCTTTTGATAAAAAGATTTCAATCTGAATACACAATGGCAGGTTTGGTTTCAATTATGCTAGATCTCTTGCACACTACAATACCTTCAATTATAAAGAAAATATCTGTGTTAAACCATGGAACAAAACCCACCAACGAACTATCTCAGCAAAAATCTCTAATGCAATGGGTTTCCTTCAATCTCTCTAATTCAGCTCCCTTCTTCATTAACCCTCCATCTTCTCAATATTCCTCCCTCACCTCCCCCTGCACAATCCTAACATTAACCCTACCTCCTGTGGAGCGCCCCCTTGCCCCCTGACATTGTTGTTTGAATGCAGCAATATAATGGATTAGGGGACAATGAATGAATAACCGTAGAATCCATGTAAACATCGTAGTTTCAACCTGTTCATTGTTCAAACTGATCCTGGATATTCATTCTATCCTGGATATTCAACCTGTTCTATCCTATCCTAGGTATACAAACTGTTCTATCCTGTCCTAGATATTCAATCTGTTCCAAACTAGACTAGATATGTTTAAGCTGTTCTATCCTATCCTGGATATTTGGATATTTAACCTGTTCTATCCTATCCTGGATATTCAACCTGTTCTATTCATCCTGGATACTCAACCTGTTTTCTATCCTATCCTAGATATTCAACCTGTTCTATTCTATCCTGGATATTTAACCTGTTCTATCCCATCCTGGATATTCAACCTGTTCTATCCTATCCTAGGTATCCAAACAGTTCTATCCTGTCCTGGATATTCAACCTGTTCTATTCATCCTGGATACTCAACCTGTTTTCTATCCTATCCTAGATATTCAACCTGTTCTATACTATCCTGTATATTCAATCTGTTCTATCCCATCCTGGATATTTAATCTGTTCTATCCTATCCTAGATATTCAATCTGTTCTATCCTTTCCTGTATATTCTACCTGTTCTATCCTATCCTGTATATGCAATCTGTTCTATCCTATGATATTCAATCTGTTGTATCCTATCCTGTATTTTCTACCAAGTGAATGATATATATTATCTGCCCCATGAATATTCTGTAATTTCCAGACCTGAAATTGTATTTATGTAATACAGAGTAGAGTCTCATGCTCTAGGTTAAGTAATTACCCAACCTGACTAAATGTGACTAATGGCTGTATCAGTGAGTACTGTATATAGATAGATAGATAAATGTTTACTCTAAGGGATTGTCAACTTACATTTAAGTAATTCCACAGTGTTATAATTATGTTTTGCAACAGTACCCCTTTAAACTTTAAGAAATTATAAGATTTGAAAGAAATAATTCAATGTTTAATTATATCTGTGTTTCTCTTGAAAATCAGCGTTTGCAGATTTACTCAAATCTTTTTCAACAGTTCCTTCAATTTCAAAATAAAATTATATTTGGTTTGGCAGATATGAACCAGGGAGGGCTGGCTTGTATAATGTATAATGTAGGAGTGCAATCTATGTATAAAGGAATAGGCCTGGATGCAGGTGCCAAGGGGGGGGGATGGGGTAGAGAGGGGGGGGCAGGGGGGTGTCAAGTTTAAGGACTTAAGGGCGTAGTCGTAGAATAGAAGGGTATATAGGAATAGAGGTTTGTAGAGAGTGTGGTTTGTCTTTTCTTTTCTAATGATGGGATATTGTGGGGGTGGGGAGAGAGATAGGGGGGGGGTTATGAAAATGGGGATGGGGAGGAGGGGGGGGGGAGATATGAAGATGGGAAGAGGGGGAGAGTGTGTTTAATTTATTCCTCCTGTGTCATCTCCAGCTAACCTTGTTTTGACTAATAATGATATTTTGCAGGCTCACCAGACTTTGGAGACGAACAGGATGTAAACATGCAGAGTCCCCCCTGCACCCCTGCAGGGTAGGAGGGGGGCAGGCTTCCAATCATCAGCTGGCAGATGGTGTCTTCTCTATCTCTAACCAGGGTTGCATAAATAACCCTGTTTGCTGGGCGGGACTACCTACTCCTCCCCCTGTTTATACAGTACCCAACCTTCCTTACTCTACCACTATACCCGGAGCCAGACTGTTACCTCACCCCACCTGGAGTTCGTCTGGAGAACCGAACCAGGACTACACTTCAAATATTTTCAGAAGGATTGAGGGTTCGGAGATATTATCAGGAGAACCCATCTACCAGGAGATATCAGAAAAACCTTTTATTTCCGTCCTTTCACGGAGACACGGAAATAATTTTTCATTTAACAATCAAGAGAAGGACATAGAGAAAAAAAATGAAGAATTAAGGATGAAAAACGAAAGTAAAATTATATCAGACGAAGATAACGTTAAAAATGACGAAGATAGTGTGATCAAAAACGAAAACATCGTTAAAAAGAACGATGAAAGAGAACAGAAGGAGGATAGAATAAAATCGAGTGTTGTTTATGGAGTGATAACAGCTAAACAGGTTGCAAAGTATATTCCTTGCTCACAAACTAGTATAGTTAGATATCAGTAGTTTATACAAATATATCCTTTCAATTATAATTATTTAAGAATCACCCTGTACCAAAGTTAAATAAATATATTTATATAAAATGCAGTTTATTAGATTATTTCATTCAATGTTTTGTCTCAAGTTTGGTGCAATCACATTTGTTAGATCTTTTTCTCGAATTTTTGTGAAATTATAATTATTATAAAGATTAATTTACATATATCGGTGGTGTAGTTTAAATTCAGGGGAAATCAGTTCCAAAACTAACACTTGGCCCATTTCTAACACTGAGTGTTGTTGTTGTTTTCCAAGCGTAATATATCTTTAAATCCAAGCCGAGTTGAACAAAACTGCACCATATATTTAAACAAAAATGGCTAAAACTGTACATTGAAACAAAAAATGTCAATTTTAACTAATAATAAGGTGTGAGAATTAGTTTATGATGATACTTGATTTCATTTTCGAAGATATCCTATTTTGAAACAAATTCCGTCTTTCAGCTCATGTCGCGTTTCATATCAATGTCGATTTTCAAGCATTTATGCACTTGCGTAACAAAACAAGATTTTTTGATAAGGTAAAATAGAAATAAAATCATTCTGTTATTTTATAATTTTAGAATCATTATTAAAATGCGGAAAATTAAGTCAACTTTATTCTCAATCTAAAAAATAAAATGGGGAAACTAATATTTTAGAAATAATATTTAATATGTTCTAAAATGGAAAACCTGGCAATGTTTTGTAAACGGTCAAGAGTTTTAATATAAAAAGAACTCCTTTTAAAATTTTGATTTCATAAAATAGTTTTAAATTGGGAATGGTTGTCCTCGTCATTCTTACTAAAATGTTGGTTATACTTTATATTGTTTACTTTTACTCTTGATATGGGCCGGGATCCTAAAAACCCAGTCTTTAAATTTTTGCCAATTTCTAACGATCAATGTTAGAAATGGGCCAATATTAGTTTTGGAAGTATTGTACCCTGAAAATTGCATACAATTTTTGTTGTTGCGAAAAAGAAGAGTTAAAAAGGAAAAAGGTATGAGTAGTTAGCATCAGATGTTAGCATAAAAGCTAAGTCAAAGAAAAAGAAATAAGGATTTAACGAAAGAGTAAGAAGCAAAAGTAAAGATTTTGTTTTTAAAGGGATTTATTTGAGACATAATAAAACTTTTAAAAGATCTGTAAATCCTGAGTTTGAGCGCGAATTCGACGTTCAAAACTCATACTTTGGGGGTGGATACATTTTCAGAATTAGTTTTTTAAATTATTAAATAACGACAACGAAAAATAAAGTTAAAATTTTACAGTAATCAGATTAGATGGTTAGGAACATATTTCTCAAAAGAAATTTGTCAATAAATCAATGCTAAAATCGATTATTTCGTTTTAATTATCATATTGGATTTCTTATTTCTTTGAATTTATTCGCAGATTTCTTCAAATTCTTCAATTGTCGTCTTTTCAATAATAATTGTGAATAATGAGAAACCAGAATAATGAGAAAATAGGGAGAGAAATAAGAAAAAAGGAGATAAAGAAGAAAAAAGGGAGAGAAATAAGAAAAAAGAGAGGGAAAGAAGAAAAAAGGGAGGGAAAGAAGAAAAAATGGAGATAAAGAAGAAAAAGAATAGAAATAAGAAAAAAGGGAGGGAAAGAAGAAAAAAAGGAGAGAAATAAGAAAAAGAATAGAAATAAGAAAAAAGGGAGATAAAGAAGAAAAAAGGGAGAGAAATAAGAAAAAAGAGAGGGAAAGAAGAAAAAAGGGAGATAATGAAGAAAAAGGGAGAGAAAGAAGAAAAAAGGGAGATAAAGAAGAAGAAAAGGGAGAGAAATAAGAAGAAAGTGAGAGAGAAATAAGAAAAAAGGGAGATAAAGAAGAAGAAAAGGGAGAGAAATAAGAAAAAAGGGAGAGAAAGAAGAAAAAGGGAGAGAAATAAGAAAAAAGAGAGGGAAAGAAGAAAAAAGGGAAATAAAGAAGAAAAAAGGGAGAGAAAGAAGGAAAATAGGGTGAGAAAGAAGAAAAAAGAAGGAGAGAGAAGAAGATTAAAAATGTAGAAAGTAAATGTGTTCTGATTCTGAACACAGCAGGACAAAAAGAGATTGATTATTAATTAATAGTTGTCATATATGAATATTACTCTACACACACACACAAATAGGATCTTGTTAGGGTTCCATCAAGAAATTTCATCCAATTCGGTCCAGCCGTTTGGCCAGCTAAAGCAAACATATATTATAAATGTATAAATATACATACAAATACATATACAGGGTGTCCCATATCGCATTGGATCGTGTTATAGCTTTAAATTGCGATTTCCGGGACTTATCAGAAAATCTAAAAAGAACGAATCATTTCAAAAATATTGTATATTAATGTTTCATGTAGAAAATACTAGGATTTTCGAGTATTAGTGCGTATTTTGGCATTATACAGCTCGGAGATAATCTTATATGATATTGGACGCTCTGTTTATAAGCTAAGAAATTTATATGATATTGGACGCTCTGTTTATAAGCTAAGAAATTTATATGATATTGGACGCTCTGTTTATAAGCTAAGAAATTTATATGATATTGGACGCTCTGTGTATAAGCTAAGAAATTTATATGATATTGGACGCTCTGTTTATAAGCTAAGAAATTTATATGATATTGGACGCTCTGTTTATAAGCTAAGCTATTTATCAAATAGATTAGAAGTTGTGTGAACTGTTGTTTACGCTTTAAAGGTTGGGTTGTTCTTGGGTTATATTTTTGAGTTTTTACAGTTACAAGTTGTAATTACAGACAATAACATTCTTATTATCATGCTCCCTCCAACCAGACAAAAATAATTTGACAATTTTGAAATTGATAGAGTATCATCTTGTCAAATCCGAGCCGAGCCATAAAACCAGTTTATGCATTGCAGACATATTTTTAAATATTCATGTACTAATCAGCTGTATTCGGGTTGTAACGAAACATAGATTAATGGAACCATTTTTTTCTCTTTAAAATTAATATAGCAACACATACATATCAAGACACCTCACCACAACAATCCAAGGACATTCAAGAGCGATATGAAAGATTCTTAAATGCATATTTGTATTCTTTGATATTTGTAATAGCAGACATTTTTTCATTTATTAATTATTAGGAGTTAAGTGTGGAAGTGTGGAAGTGTGGAAGTTTGGAAGTGTGGAAGTGCGGAAGTGTGGAAGTGTTGAAGTGTGGAAGTGTGGAAGTGTGGAAGTGTGGAAGTGTGGAAGTGTTCAAATGTTGAAGTGTTGAAGTGTTGAAGTGTGGCAGTGTTGAAGTGTGGAAGTGTGGAAGTGTGGAAGTGTGGAAGTATGGAACTGTGGAAGTATGGAACTGTGGAAGTATGGGAGTGTGGAAGTATGGAAGTGTGTAACTGTTGAACTGTGGAAGTGTGGAAGTGTTGGAGTTGTCAATAGAATAAGATTAATAATTTTTTATGCCTGGTTCAGTAGCTTAAATTTCCGGAAATTTATGAAAATTATATTATTTGATTCACCCCTAGCCCCATGGGTACTTACGAGGCAATTTAGGTTGCGGCCCTAACTGTTAAAATCAAGCGCCACATTTTCAGGAATTAGACGATATTATACTCTATCTTGAAATTATGAAAAATTTAAAGGATCGCTTAAAGAACTTTAGACGTAATTTTAAGTGATCCTCCATTTATAGAGTTGAATAAAACAGATTCACAATGGCAGGGGCACCACGATTTTTCGAATCAACGGGTAAAAAATCAATAAGAGAGCAACAATTGAAAGTAAAATCCATAATGGACGCAAATTTATAGATGATACAATTTTGAGATAAGATTAACATCTAATATTCCGCGGAACCTTAGATAAACCTGGAACGATGCCAACCTCTAGTAAGAATGTATTTTAGGAAGGTTAATGAGAGGAAGAAGAGGAAACAGTATGTAACTAATGTATGTTTGTTTCATGTAGATATGGATGTATAGTAAGGTTATTTACATTGCCGTAGGATAATTTGTTTTTAAGATACTGAGCCAAGTAATTTCTAAAAATACCGTATAATGATGAAAATATGTTTTAAAGGAACTTAAATTTATAACGGTGCCCTTTAATCCTCTGTCATAATAAAAATGGATATCTTCCGTATTTTTCCTCAGATAAAGGTTTAAAGGGTAATGTTGTGAATTGGACGTGGTGTCACTATTTTGATATACGGTCAATTGAAATTACGCTTACAAATTATACAGACGAATACAGTCTAGATGTGTATTTGAATAAGATGAATACAGTCTAGATGTGTATTTTAATAAGATGAATACAGTCTAGATGTGTATTTGAATAAGATGAATACAGTCTAGATGTGTATTTTAATAAGATGAAAACAGTCTAGATGTGTATTTGAATAAGATTAATACTGTCTAGATGTGTATTTGAATAAGATGAAAACAGCCTAGATGTGTAGCTAGGCATAGATCCCTAAATCACTAGTTTTCACGCTTTCAGTGATTAAAATGCCAAGATATATGAATGATGCATTTTCTATTTCTCCGTCCTGCCAAACTATTTAAAGCGCGCGTGATTGTGGGAACCTAGTTTACTATGCGCGCAAGATTATGGATGATTGCGTGCATATTTAGTTTTACATGATTACCTTTCTGCTTTCTATGAGCGCAGTCTTGGGTTGGAGATTAGCACAACCAACAAGACTTGATCGTCCATTGAACTTTAAAATGGAAATATAAAGGAACTAATTACTCGTCTTACACTAAAATTTTCCGACCCTGATATCTTTTCAATCAGAGATGCAGTAATACGAACAGGAATGCAGGAAACAAGCTGAAAACATTAGAAGGGTGGATATATCGAGAACAATTCTTAAAAGGCGTGCAACTAATGGGGGAAAGAAGGTCCAAAAATAGCTAATTTTCTCAAAAATTTTATAACAATATGCCCCACAGTTTTTTTTTTAAATCTACCCTCATTCTTAAAGCAAATTAAATTTACTGTAACATTATTCAATATAAGTTCAGATTTTTGCCCCCGACCAGACTTTAATTTGCCTCTTTGTTCAACATTTGTAACCCTTAG